TTTTTGTCCATTTAGTATGATGTTGGCTGTGGGTTTGTCATATATGGCTTTTATTATGTTGAGGTATGATCCTTCTACTCCCACCTTGCTGAGAGTTTTTATCAAAAAAGGATTTTGTCAAATGCTTTTTCTTCATCAATTAATATGACTGTGTGGTTTTTATCTCTCAGTTTGTTTATGTGATATATTACGTTTACTGATTTGTGGATATTGTACTATCCTTGCATCCCTGGGATAAATCCTACTTGGTCATGGTGTATGATCTTTCTGATGTATTGCTGGATCCGATTTGCTAGGATTTTGTTGAGGATTTTGGCATCTATGTTCATGAGGGATATTGGCCTGTAATTCTCTTTCATTGTGTTGTCTTTTTCTGGTTTTGGTATTAGGGTGATGCTGGCTTCATAGAATGAGCTTGGAAGTGGTCCTTCCTCGTGAATTTTTTGGAATAGTCGGAGGAGGATTGGTTTTAGTTCTTCCTTGAATGTTTGGTAAAATTCCCCTGTGAAGCCATCTGGCCCCGGGCTTTTGTTTGCTGGATGCTTTTTGATTACTACTTCAATTTCTTCCATAGTTATTGGACTATTGAGATTTTTAGATTCTTCCTGATTGAGTTTTGGAAGGTTGTATTTTTCTAGGAATATGTCCATTTCCTCCAGGTTGTCTAGTTTGTTGGAGTAGAGTTGTTCAAAGTATTTTCTTAACAATCCTTTGTATTTCTGTGGTGTCTGTTGTTATTTTTCCTTTTTCATTTCTTATTTTGTTTATTTGGGTCCTCTCTCTTTGCTTCTTGGTGAGCCTGGCTAGAGTTTCACCAATCTTGTTCATCCTTTCAAAGAACCAGCTCTTGGTTTTGTTGATCTTTTGTATTGTTTTTTTGGTCTCTATGTCATTTATCTCCACTCTGATTTTTATTATTTCCTTCCTTCTGCTTACACTGGGCTTTTCTTGTTGCTCTCTTTCTAAGTCTTTGAGTTATACGGTTATGTAATTTATTATCATTGTTTCTTGTTTTTTGCAGTAGGCTTGTAGAGCTATGAACTTCCCTCTTAAGTCTGCTTTCACTGTGTCCCATAGGTTTTGGGTTGTTGTGTTTCATTGTTGTTTGTTGCCATTTTATTTTTTACTTCTTCTTTGATCTCTCTGGTGACCCAGTCATTGTTTAATAGCATGCTATTTAGTCTCCATGTGTTTTATTTTTCTGGATTGTTTTTATTGTAGTTGATTTCTAGTTTTATGCCATTGTGATCTGAGAAGATGCTTGAAATGATTTCTATCTTCTTGAATTTGAAGAGACTCTCCCTGTGACCCAATATATGGTCTATCTTTGAAAATGACCCATGTGCACTTGCGAAGAATGTATATTCTGTGGCTTTGGGGTGAAATGTTCTGAAGATGTCAATTAATTCCATCTGATCTAGTGAGTCATTTAGGATGGATGTTTCTTTGCTGATTTTTTGTTTAGAGGATTTGTCCAATGGTGATAGTGGGGTATTAAAGTCCCCTATTATGATTGTATTGCTGTCAATCTCTCCCTTGATCTCCTCCAGAAGTTTTTTTTAATGTATTTGGGTGTTCCTATATTGGGTGCGTATATGTTTACCAGAGTTATTTCTTCTTGTTGGATTGCTCCCTTTGGTATTATAAAGTGGCCTTCCTTATCTCTTTTTATGTCCTTCACTTTGAGATCTAACTTGTCAGATATAAGTATTGCTACCCCAGCTTTTTTTTCATTTCCATTCGCCTGAGAAACCTTTTTCCATCCCTTCACCATCAGTCTGTGTGCGTCTTTTTTCTGAGGTGGGTTTCCTGTAGACAGCAGATATATGGGTCATGTTTTCTTATCCTCTCAGTTACCCTATGTCTTTTGATTGGGACATTTAATCTATTTACATTTAAAGTTATTATTGATAGACTCGGAGCCTGGTGCACGACATTCATGCACTCGGGAGTGGGAGGGGTCCCTCGGCCTGGCCTGCGCCCTTTAGCAGTCTGGGAGCCCTTGAGGGGTGACTGATGGCTTGTGACTGAGCGGCGCTCACCCTGTGGGAGTGCACTGACCACGGGGGGGCAGCTCCTGCATTGAGCATCTGCCCCCTTGTGGTCAGTGCTCATCATAGCGACCAATCATTCTGCCATTCAGTCAATTTGCATATTACCCTTTATTATATAGGATACTTGTTTGTCGCCATTTTTATTCTTTACCCCTGTATTCCTTCTTCATTTCCTATTTTTCCTTTTTACAGCAGACCTTTTAGCATTTCTTGCTTTGCTGGTTTCATGGTAAGAAACTCCCATAGTCCTTTTTTGTCTGTGAAGCTCCTGATTTCACCCTCAATTTTGATTGATAGCCTTGCTGGGTACAGTATTCTTGGATTCAGACCCTTCCTTTGCATGACTTTGTATATTTCATTCCATTCCCTTCTTGCCTGATGTGTTTCTGTTGAGAAATCAGTCGCTAGTCTGATGGGGGATCCTTTGTAAGTAACTTTCTGTCTCTCTCTGACTGCTTTTAAGATTCTTGCTTTGTCATTGGTCTTTGCCAATTTAATTATAAGGTGCCTTGGCGTCGGTCTTTTGGGGTTCATTTTGTTTGGGATTCTGTGAGCTTCTTGGATTTGTGTGAGTTTTTTCTTCCCTATATCAGGGAAGTTTTCTGTCATTATTTCTTCAAACAGGTTTTCTAGTCCTTGCTCACTTTCCTCTCCTTCTGGCACCCCTATTATGTGGATGTTGTTTCGGTTCGTGTTGTCCCAGTGTTCTCTTAGGCTCTCCTCCTGCTTTTTAATTTTTTTTCTAGAAGCTGCTCTGCTTGGGTATTTTTTCCTAGCTTATCTTCTAGCTCACTGATGTGGCCCTCTGCTTCTTCTAGTCTACTGTTGATACTTTCTATTGAGTTCTTTATAGCAGTGATGTCATTTTTCATTTCTTCTTGGTTCTTCTTCATTTCCTGTTGGTTCTTACACATATTGTTGAATTTGTCTTCCATTCTTTTCATCCACCTTATGACCATTTCTCTGAATTCTTTCTCTGACAGGTTGCTTGCCTCATTTGCCTCCATTTCGTTTACTTCCTTTTCTGGTGATGGCTGTTTTTCTTTCATATGCGGGCTGTTTCTTTGTCTTCCCATGATCTCTCTTCTCCAGGTGTTTGGTTATGTAGTTCTCTCTCTGCTGCGTTGATTTAAAGGCACAAAATACAACACAACAAGGTAAAACTCACAAGGCAATGAACACAAATGTATTCATAATACTAATAAACCCAAATAAAGGTGACCACCAGAGAAAAGAGAATTAGGGGATAAGGAAGAAAGCAGAAGAGAAAAAGAAAAAATAGAAAAAAAGAGTGGAAAAATGAAATTGGGAAAAGGGAAAAAAAAGTAAGAGAGAAAAGAAAGAGAATGAAATAGAAGAGGGGAAGAAACTATTTACATGGGGAGAAAACTCCAATAGAACAGCCACTAATCCCAACAAATTCCAGCAACAGATACCTAGAGATAATTGCAAACTACAAACAACTAATATCAAGCGAGGCAAGGGAAAACAGAAGCAAAAAATAACCGAAAAAAACAACAAAAAAATAAAAAGAAAAACAATCTCACAAACAAGCATAAAAAACCCCAAATATAATCAACAATCAAGCAAACAACAGCAAAATGACAGAGAGAGAAAAAAAAATTGGATAGTGAAGAAAGAGAAGAGAGAGCTGTATATGTACTTAGAGCAGGGGATTGGAAATTAGATATGTAAGTAGGGTGAAATTTTAACAGCGGGTAAAAAAAAGGAACAGGGAAAATCTAAAGCAGGAATAGGGTAAGAGAAACAGGACAACAAAAAGGGAAAAGTGAGGAAGAGAGTTTTGGCATAAAGGTAAAGTTGAGATAGAGTAAAATGATGCTAAAGGAAAGATGAAAATAGAATGTAGAACACTAATCCCAAAATAAAATAAAGAGAAAATAAAATCACACTTAAAAAAAGGTAAAAGGTAGTAGTAATAATACTGGTTAAAAATAAAAGTGTAGTAATTGAAAAGTTAAAATCAGATGACGAAAAAAGAAAAAAAATAGTTTCTTAAGTAAAAGGTGAAAAAAATAAAAATGTGCAGTAGTGAAGGTCCTTTAGTTCCTCTACTCTTCTGTTTGGCACGCCTTAGTCCTGTCAGGTATTCAGGAGAGTGTTGAAGTTCCCTTCGATACACTGTTCCTCCGTATTGTAAACCACAGTCCTGATTTTAAAGCAGGCAGTATTTCTTTGTTTCCCAGTTTGCCTTTATTTGTATTTACAGAAGAGTCAGTTCATGGTTTAGCCCCTGGGTGGCAGTGTTTCTGGATTGACCTCTGAGGCTACAAGTCCTCTCTAGCCAGTATTTAGTTTTTGTTTTCCCTATCGCACTTAATACTGGTTTGGGAGAGTTGACTGCCCCAGAGCTGGTTCCTTGGTCATTACTCCCCACTCTGATTCCCAGGTTCCACAAAAACAACTTTCCCCTGCAGTCTCTGTGAGTGACCCCAACTGGGCAATCCTAAGTATTGGGTTTAATAATCAAAAGAAAAGATTTAAGGAGAAAAAAAAAAAAGAGCCAGAGTGCACAATTCTCCCAAAGTCTCTTCCGCATGTCCTCTCTCCCCTGGCACTAAGCAGCCAGCACACTGGCAAAATCTGAGGCTGCCTTTTTGCACCCAGTCCAGCTATGGGCTGATTTTTAGAGTTCCCTTCTGCCAGCAGCCCTGCGGGACCCCTTCCATACTTGTGGATCACGCTAGCCCCAACGGCCGAGGACTTTGTGGGGCACAGACTTCCCCCACGCATGCGTTCCTCTCTCCAACCTGAATTACAAACCACACCTTTATCTAGGCAAAATCTGACCTTTCTGTGAGGAGGAGCAGGGCTCATCTGAGTCCAAGTATTTGCACTGCTTGAGATCCAGTGTTCCTAGGTTCATAGCTGGACCCTGGGTGCCATGGTTGCAGGGTTTCTGGATGTATACGCTTCCGATATCAGCCACCCAAGATGGTGCGGTCTCCGTGGCTGAGCTGGCTGCTCCGGGAGAGATTTCAGCAGCATTGGAGGCTGCCCGGTTAGGGGAGCCCGATCCGGCAGTCTCCAACAGTCCCCTGGAGTATAGCTATCGCTCACCCACAAATTTACTCTCTCGGTATGTCCACACACTCTCCTTTCATTCTCTCACTCTCACACTGTCTTACAGTCTGCCTTCCCTTCGGCAGCCATCTTCTGAATCAACCACCATCATTGTTTGGGTTAATTTGCATACTCATCCTTACTGGCTGGTGGGCGTAATGGAGCGACACCAATTTGCATGTTTCTCTTTTATTAGTGTGTGTGTGTGTGTGTGTGTGTGTATATCTTTATATTTATTTATTTATTTATTTATTAGAGGCCCAGTGCACGAAATCTGTGCACTGGGGGGGTGTCCCTCAGCCCAACCTGCACCCTCTCCAATCTTGGACCCCTCAGGGGATGTCCGACTACTGGCAGACGCACATCCCTCTCGCAATCCGGGACTGCTGACTTCCAACCACTCACCTGCCTGCCAGCCTGATTGCCCCTAACTGCTTCTGCCTGCCAGCCTGATCACCCCCTAACCACTTCCCTGCCAGCCTGATCACCCTCAACTGCCCACCTCTGCCAGTCCAGTCACCCTCAATTGCCCTCCCCTGCCGCCCGGTCACCCCAAACTACCCTCCCCTGACAGCTCAGTTGCCCCTAACTGCTCTCCTCTGCAGGCCTGGTCCCCACCAACTTCCCTCCCCTGCTGGCCTGATCACCCACAACTGCCCACCTTTGCCAGCCATCTTGTGGCTGTGGCTGTTGCCATCATTGAGGACATGGCATTCAATTAGCATATTCCCTCCTTATTGGCTGTTGGCACTGCCATCTTTGAGGGTGGGACAGTCAATTAACATATTCCCTCCTTACTGGCTGTGGGAGCTGCCATCTTTGCAATAGCGTGAGGGTCAATTAGCATATTCCCTCTTTATTAGATAGGATATGTATATATGTATGTATATACATGTCCTATATAATAAAAGGCTAATATGCAAATAGACCAAATGGAGAAACGACTAGTCACTATGATACACACTGACCACCAAGGGGCAGACGCTCAACACAGGAGCTGCCCCCTGGTGGTCAGTGTGCTCCCACAGGGGGAGCACCACTCAGCCAGAAGGCGGGCTCAAGGCTGGCAAGTGCAGTGGCAGTGGTAGGAGCCTCTCCCACCTCTGCAGCAGTCGGACATCCCCCAAGGGCTCCCAGACTGCAAGAGGGCGCAGGTTGGGCTAAGGGACCCCCCCACCCCAAGTGCACTGGGCCTCTAATATATATATATATATATATATATATATATATATATATATATATCTTATCTAATCAAAGCGAAATATGCAAATTGGCCGTACCTCCACTACACTCACAAGCCACACCCACAAGTCATGCCCACAAGCCAATCAGGATCAAGTATGCAAATAAACCCAACCAAGATGGCGGTGGCCATGGGAGCTGGAGCGAGCAGAGGCTTGGGTTGCCCCTGGTGATGGAGGAAGCCAAGCTGCCCGCCTGCCCTGGCTGGCTGTGGGCTCTGTGCAAGGTTACAAAGTTTTATTTATAGAAGATAAATAAATCCCAGATACCTGCTTCCAGTTGCTGTGGCCTCCGCTCAAGGAGGATCTGGGAGCCTGGGTTGCCCGGGTTCGTGGCCAGCCTGAAAACAGCCCTCAGCCCCTCATACAGGCTGGCCACGCCCCCCCAGCGGGGACTCTCACCCCACTGGGGCATGGCCAACCTTCAAACCACCACAGGCCCCTCTCCCAGGCTGCCCCACGCCCCAAGGGGACCTCCACCCTGATCCGGGATACCCTTCGGGACAGATCAGCCAGCCCCCACCTGTGCACCAGGCCTCTATACTAATAAAAGGGTAATATGCTAATGAGACTGGGAGACCTTCCAGGAGACCTTCTGGACATTCTTCTGGACAAAGCCATGGTGGCAGAGCCGAGGTAGAGGCGGTTAGAGGCCAAGAGAGGAGGGCAGTTGTGGGTGATCAGGCTGGTGGGGGGCAGGGCTGTTGGGGGTAAGCATACCAGCAGGGGGGCCAGTTGGGGGCAAGCAGGCCATCAGTGGGGGTCAGTTGGAGGTGATCAGGACAGTGGGGGGGGCAGTTTGGAGTGAGCAGGCCATCAGGGGGGCAGTTGGGGACAAGCAGGCCAGTGGGGAAGGAAGGTGGGGGCGAGCAGGCCAGCAGGGGGGGAAGTTGGGGGTGATCAGGCTGGCAGCGGGGGGCAGTTGGGGGCGAGCAGGCTGGCATGCAGGGAGGTGAGTGGTTAGGAGCCAGCAGTCCCAGATTGCGAGAGGGATGGCCAACTGCCAGTTTAGGCCTGATTCCTGTAAACCAGCAGTAGGACATCCTTCGAGTGGTTCCAGATTGGAGAAGGTGCAGGCTGGGCTGAGGAACACCCCATCCCCCATGCACAAATTTCATGCACCGGGCCACTAGTATATATATATTGATTTTGGAGAGGAAGGGAGAGGGAGAGGGATATAGAAACATCAGTGATGAGAGATAATCATTGATTGGCTGCCTCCTGCACACCCCACACTAGGGATCAAACCTGAAACCTGGGCATGTGCCCTGACCTGGAATTGAACCATGATCTCCTGGTTCGTAGGGTGACGGCTCAACCACTGAGCCATGCTAGCTGGGCAAGATTAACATTTTAAGAGGTATTGTCCTTTCTGAATTGTCTTTTTCTGTGAACAGGGACTGGACCACCTACTGTTCAGATGTTGTGGCAGATGTAACTAGAACATCTGAAGGGAATTGAATTAGTTGACAATTGGACAAGTTCAAGTCACTGTGTCTGGGTCAACAGAGCCATAGGAAGTGCTGAAGGAAGGAAGTACAACTAGCAGCTAACGGAGGAGAAACAAATTGAAGCAGAATTCCTCTAATTTGTCAACCTTCCTACCAAAGGGTTTCCTGATGAAACTCATCTGGACTTCATTTCTTTACTTGAATGAGTCAGGGGTTTAGAATTCAGGCATCTGGCTGCCAGGAGGTTCCTGAAGCTCCCACTGGAAGGTGCCAGCCAGAGCTCTTCTGTGAGTGCAATAATTACAAAGTTGTTATTGAAATGGGCTTTGGAAGAAAACTTGTTTAAAGGTTTATATCCTGAGAGAAACCAAGATGGTGGCATAGGTAAACACCGGAAATTGCTGCCTCACACAACCACTTCAAAATACAACTAAAGACAAAAGGGACATCATCCATAAACACAGGAAGGCTGGCTGAGTGGAAATTCTACAACTAGAAGGAAAAAGAAAAGCAGACTGAAACTCAGAGGAGGTGCGGAAGTAAAGTGCAGAGGTACGGAGGTGCACATGGAAAGGGCTGGCAACTGAGGATGCCGTTGTCTTTCAATTGGGAGGGAGAAACAAGCTCCCAACAGCCCTGAACTCCAGTTCCAGGCGAGTCTCTGGGTACCCAGACTCATACGGGGAGAAACTGGACTGTCTGGCATCATGTAAAACTCGAGGGCAACTTTCTCTCAGAGGTGCTTACAGCGATTACCAATTACTGCGGGACACTGGGACCTGAGGCCTCTTAGGGCAGGGCTGAGGATCAGCCATAGCTGTTTGCTCCGCCCTGTTGATTCCCTGAGACCCTGCTCCACCCAAGCTGTGTGCAGAGGCTTTTGCATATGAATGACCTGGCCCTTTGCAATCTAAAATTACCTAACAAACTGCAGCTGGGTCAGAGAGACCCAGAACATCCAAAAGAAGGCCCAAGGCCCCACAGCAGCTTGCATTGCTCCACAGCTGGGCCTCATCTGGGCACCTCCAAATCCCAAACAAAGAAGAGGAATCTGCAGATTTCTCTGTAGCTCCTGCTGGGTAGCCTCAGGCAGAGGCTAAATTAGCACCTCCTTAGAGATCCAAGAGCCAGTGTACTCAGTGGTCAGAGTGGGACCATCCAGATTACAACTCATCAGATCCATAAGGGACACACTCAGGGGGCACACTCAGTGAGCACCAAAGCCCCACTGAAGCAAGTCTTGCCCCATAAGGGTGTCTCCAGCACAGAAGTTCTCCCGCCATAGACACAGCTGATTCTCACAGCCAATTGGCCTGGAGTCAATTCCTCTCAGTGATACCAGCTACAATCAAGGCTTAACTACAACAAGACTGTGCACACAGCCCACAAAGGGGTACTCCAAGAGTGTCCACCTCAGGTAATTGGGGAGGCTGAGCCACTGGGCCATATAGGACACCTAGCACAGAAAGCCACTCTATCAACACAGGAAAGCATCCAAAATGTGGAGACAAAGAAACAGTTCACAAATGACAGAAATGGAGGAAAGCAAACTACTGGATATAGAGTTCAAAACCACGGTTATAAGGTTTTTAAAGAATTTTCTAGAAACCGCCAATAAATTTAGTGAGACCCTCAATAAGTCTGGTGAGATCCTCGAGGATATGAAAAAGGACCAACTAGAAAATAAGCATACACTGACTGAAATAAAGAATATTATACAGAGATCCAACAGCAGACTAGAGGATCGCAAGAATCAAGTAAAAGATTTGAAATATGAAGAAGCAAAAAAGACCCAACTGGAAAAGCAAAAAGAAAAAAGAATCCAAAAATATGAAGATAGTGTAAGGAGCCTCTGGGACAACTTCAAGCTTACCAACATCCGAATTATGGTGGTGCCAGAAGAAGAGAGAGAGCAAGATATTGAAAACCTATTTGAAGAAATAATGACAGGAAACTTCCCCTACCTGGTGAAAGAAATAGACTTATAAGTCCAGGAAGTGCAGAGAACCCCAAACAAAAGGAATCCAAAGAGGACCACACCAAGACACATCATAATTAAAATGCCAAGAGCAAAAGACAAAGAGAGAGTCTTAAAAGCAGCAAGAGAAAAACAGTTACTTACCTACAAGGGAGTACCCATATGACTGTCAGCTGATTTCTCAACAGAAACTATGCAGGCCAGAAGGGAGTGGCAAGAAATATTCGAAGTGATGGATACTAAGAACCTACAGCCAAGATTACTTTATCCAGCAAAGCTATCATTTAGAATTGAAGGTCAGATAAAGAGCTTCACAGATAAGAAAAAGCTAAAGGAGTTCATCACCACCAAACCAGTATTATATGAAATGCTGAAAGGTATCCTTTAAGAAGAGGAAGAAGAAAAAGGTAAAGATAAAAACTATGAACAACAAATACATATCTATCAACAAGTGAATCTAAGAATCAAGTGAATAAAAAAATCTGATGAACAGAATAAACTGTGTTATATAATAGAATCAGGGGCATAGAAGGGGAGTGGACTGACAATTCTTGGGGGGAAAGGGTGTGGGGGTGGGGGAAGAGACTGGACAAAAATTGTACTTCTATGGATGAGGACAGTGGTGGCGGGGGTAAGGGCAGAGGTTGGGGTGGGAACCGGGTGGGGGGGGAACTATGCGGGGGGAAAAAAGAGGAACAACTGTAATAATATGAACAATAAAGATTAAAAAAAATAAAGGTTTATATCCTGGGAATTTTCACTCCTCCAATGTTATTAAAACCCAGTTGCTGTTTTCTCAGTTAGGCAAATGTTAGAGGAAATGAAATATAAACAGACATTAATTTATTCTCTCTGACTTTTGATTTGCATTAGGGACCAGTTATATTGTGTACCTTTTAAAGCTCTGTTTGAAAAAGCTAACATATTTTTTCTTTTGAGATTGACAATTTACTCTAAAACTCATGTTTCTAGGAGAGAGCTTTGATGTGACCAGCCTTTGTTTGCTTGTTTGTTTATACAAATGGTATATTCTTGAATATGTCTTTTTGGGCAGCAAATAGCCACCAAATAGCTATGAAGAAAGATGCAAAAACTTCCATTGGTGGATCCCCATTTCTTTAGCCATTTTTCTCCATTCCCCCATTCCAGATTGTACTGATCACTCCCATTGTAATGTAGTGTTCCCACTCCACTTTTCCCTCTCTCTTTCAAGAACTTTACCTCCATCAAAATGTCCTCCCTCAGGGCCTTCTACTCTACCTTCTGGTTTCATTCAAGCATTCTCTTTCTTTCATTCTGGACTGAAACTAACTCCTCCTTACTGTTTCTCCAGGTCTGACCCTCACATGACTTGGGTTTCAGCCTTGCTATTCCTTATACTGTGCCAGAGGAAACAATAAGTATTTGTTGAATCAATGAATAGGTAAGTGAATGGATTTGAGGGATCTGATAAACATGTCAGATCCTTTATTTTATTTTTTACTTCTAAATTATTTTAGTAAGAAAAATTTCAAATATACAGAAAAGTAGAGGGTATACTATAAGGAACCTACTGTAGTCATCACCCAACTTCAATAGTTAACAACATATAGTCACTTTTCTTTCATTTTTACCCACTCTACCTTTTGCCAGGCTTTTTACCTGAATGTAGGTCAGACAATCAAGTGCATGATGGGAACACTTAAGTAAAGAGCCACTACATGTATATGTTCTTCATCATCTGAATTCAATTAGACCTCATACTCAATCCCTCTGTTACTCTTTGTTTTTAAGTTTCCTGGTTTCTGGTTTTGGCTCCTGCTTTTCATTTCTACCAGTTCTTAATCTGGGTGCACAAGTTCCCAAGGTATCCATGAAAAATATATGTCAATTATATCTCATTAAAAAAGATAAAGGGGTCTCTACAAAACTGTCTTACAAAGGATGGTCTGCTCTTTGTTGTATTTCATTTTGGTTTTTCCCACTCCTTAAAAATCAGTTCCACGAAGAAAGGCAGATGATATCATGTGTGAGCTGCATACGGGGCCAACTCCATACATGTGTGAAGGCATTCCATGTGTGTGCACATGCGTGTGTTGATGTGGAGATGGGGTATGCTGCTCCTCACTTCAGTCTCTCCCCTGGTTTCCTGTCCATGCAGTTAGGGATTTAATTTAAAATATTTATTTTATAGAGCTGCCTTTTTCAAAGACATTGCTTCAATATTCTAATAAAACCTCAGTTAAGTGCCTCCCCCAAATAAAGAGGTCAGTATATTTATATTGGAAAAAATACAGCTTGTTTTCACTAACTTCAAACTGAAATTGAATATTTTGTATCATGAATGTAAGCAACAAACCGCAGTAATATTCACAGTATCTGCAACTTTGAAACTAGTAGAAATCCTTTTATATAAAATAACAGAAGTTGTAGAGATTTCAAAATACCTCTTATGTTCATCACTGCTTTGAAATCATGGTACTTATTATATCCACAGCTAGATCTTGTTAATTTAAACCTATATAATAAAAGACTAATATGCAAATGGACCAAACCCCAGAATGACCAGTTGCTATGTCACGCACTGACCACCAGGGGGCAGATGCTCAACTCAGGAGCTGCCCCCTGGTGGTCACTGTGCTCCCACAGGGGGAGAACCTCTCAGCCAGAAGCCGGGCAAGTGCAGCCACAGTGGCAGGACCCTCTCCCACCTCCACAGCAGTTGGACATCCCCTGAGGGCTCCCAGACTACAAGAGGGTGCAGGCCAGGCTGTTGGACCCCCCCCCCCCGTTGAGTGTATGAATTTCATGCACCAGACCTCTAGTGTGTTAATAAGGAAACATATATTACTAAGACATATATGAAATATTACATAATTGTATAGCAGTATATTTGGTTTCCTTTGTAATCCATTGTGTTTTATTTTATATATTGAAAAATATTACTATGAAAAGAAATCGATATTTAACCAAGCTGTCAAAAGGATCTATGGCTAAGAAATGATCAAGAAACCCAGGTCTAGACACTTTAATAACATATTTGAACTCCTTAT